GGGGGGGTAGGGGTAGGGTAAAGAGAAACACATCGACACATTAACGGTCATTTAGTGCTAGGAAAAAGTGAGACGAACAGACTCAACAGAATGAATCCCGGCCCATCAACAGTCAGGACAGGACTGTGTTGTTGCACCACACAACAGCGCGTTATAGAAATGGACAGGTTACAATAGTGTATAGACTTGTATTACAGTTGCTTTGACGTAGGTTACAATAGTGTATAGACTTGTATTACAGTTGCTCTGACGTAGGTTACAATAGTGTATAAACTTGTATTACTGTTTCTCTGGTGTATTTCCGATTTATGATGAAGCGCACCATTTGAACCAAAGAAAGCGCAAAGGAGGGAAGGAGTGCTCTATTAGAGCTCCAACGATGTTTTTTTGCCCTCCATTTGGGCGCACTGACGCGGCCCATTGTGGCTATAGGCTTTGGAGCAGGGGTGGGTTGTTTTTTAAAATAGAGAGCGAAGAGCGGAAACCTTGACAATGCGCGGTCTAGGTATACAAGTCTATGGAATCGCGCGTCGTGACGTCATTGAAAGTAAGAACAATAATACGAGGTGCTCATTGGGGGGATCGGGTCCGGTCGGGGTGGTTTGCTAGCCAGATTGAGGGCGCAAAGCGGCTATCGTGACACAAGCCGATTACTCCCGACTCGTCGCCTCAAAAATAAACGCGTTTGTTTATTTTCAGACGACGAGTGGGGCAGGGCAATTGCCCCCGATTTCAGCCGACCCGACCCCCCATCCGCAATGGGCATCCCGAATAATATTTCTCCAAGAACTGTGGCCCCTTTACGGCTCACGCCGCGGTGTACATAAGTTGTTTTTGTTCCCACATAGCTGCCCGTGGCTAGAGGGAGTCAACAACAGGCCTTTCACATGGATTATCAACATAGACACGAGATCACAGACACACGGGGGACCCCGACACAAGGCTCTCACTCGAGCGTGGCATCGCGTGATCTGTCGGTGAAAAACTCGTCAACGCTCATTTAAACACACACACAGAAACACGCACAATACACACACACATACGCACAGAGAGAGAGAGAGAGAGAGAGAGAGAGAGAGAGAGAGAGAGAGAGAGAGA